AGGACATTTTTGTATTCATCTTCAGATAGAGTGAGAGGGAAAGAGGGGGAAGAAAGAGAGAGAGAAACATCGATGTGAGAGAGACACATTGACTGGCTGCCACCCATACAACCCCAAACGGGGCTGGGGACAAACTGCAGCCAAGGTACGTGCCTTAAGCAGGAACCGAACCCAGGACTCTCTGGTCCACGAGCCAACGCTCTAACTGCTGAGCCAAATTGGCCAGGGCTGCACACTGTTTAGTACCTGAGTTTCCGGTTTGTATTTATCCACCCAAGGTTCATTTTCAGACAGATATTCTTTTGAATTTTCTAGACCATATATCTGTTCTGAGGAAGACAGTATTCCTCTTTTTCTAGTTGGAAATCTGTTACATTCTAATGCGGAAGGCACGTTTTTTCTTCTGTGACTTAAGTTATTCACATTTAATGATGTGGCAGTAATAGAGATGCTTGCATTCTCTGAAAAATCATCAAATGATGGGTCTACCCAATCTGTTACCTGAAGAAAAAAAAAAATCATGTAAATACTATTACATTTTTTTTTGGCATCTATTCCCTATATAATGGAACTACTCTCTAAAGAAAGGTATATATTTGTAACATTAAAAAAATCTCGTTAGTTCTTTACATAAAACTGATTTTATATGTATTAGTTAATTTTGTACTTTACAGTAAATGTAAATGAATACTTGTCTACTTGACCATGGTAATGATAAATACCATATAAAGGAATATAGAATACAAACTTAATTCTTTTTATTAATGTAATCTTCCCAGGATAAAGAATAGGTTGATTATTTTAAAACTCATTTGTAGGACTGAAACCTAAATATTTAAATTACCTATCAAAAAGAAGCAAAACAGAGAAATAAAATATTACTTTAACCATGTACAACAGTGAGAAGAGAACACTTCTGCCTTAACCAGGTTCCACATTACATTTCATACATCAAAATATTCACTATCACCTTTAAGACTTTGTGAAGAAAGCAAAAAAAAAAAAAAAGACTTTGTGACGATATAGTCTAAGAATCCTGATACTATGAATAATTTGTAATTACAACTTGATTATAGTCACTCCTCTTTTAAGCCACCTGATTCATTTCCTCAAAAATCAAAAGATTTTCACTATTACCACAATTTTGGCCGATTGCCTTTTTTTTTTTTAATCCTCACCTGAGGACATTTTTCGATATTTTGTTCAGATAGCATGGGAGGGAGAGAGAGAGAGAGAAACATCAATGTGAAAGGGACTCATCGAGTGGTTGCCACCTGCACGACCCAACTAGGGCCGGGGACAAACCACAACCCTACGTGCCCTTAGCGGGAACTTAGCGGTCCGCAGGCCAACGCTCCAACTGCTGAGCCAAACCGGCCAGGGCCGATTGCCTCTATTTTTAAAAGAACATAAAAAATGATCTATTATAGTAGTCCTTTTGATAGCAATTCTGATCTACATGTTACTTACATATTTTACAGCTTTATTTCTTACAAAAATGTGGACTCCCATTTACTCAAAAAAAGAGGAAGTGAAATAGCAAAGTTACATAATTTACTTAAGAGCAAAGATAAATCAGATTAACCACTAGGAAAATAGCTATTTTGCATGTGAGTATGATAGCGTCTAACCTTCACCTATTCTACTTCCTAACTTTGCTGAGAACTAGCTCACTGAACCATATGATTTCTAAGAGGCAGGGCCTGTTGTTAAGCTTTAACACCAACTACAACTCAAATTTCTTTTCTTCTACTGCTCTTTCATTCTAGTGGTCAGCCTTTCCTTTGTGACTGGGATTATAAACATTTGTTTCAAAATTAAGGTTGTACTTTCAGTGTATAGTTGCTTCACAACTTACTAGACTTTTTTTTTTTTTATCCTCACCCGAGGACATTTTTCCATTTTTGTTCAGATAGAGTGGGAGGGAGAAAGAGAGAGAGAAAAATTGACATGAAAGGGACACATCGAGTGGCTGCCTTCTGCACAACTCCAACCAGGGCCGGGGACGAATCGCAACCGAAGTACATGCCCTTGGCTGGAACTGAACCCATGACTCATTGATTCAAAGGCGTCTGACACTCTAACCGCTGAGCCAAACCGACCAGGGCTTATTAGACTTTTTAGATCACTAATTACAACATATACTGGGTACCATTACACTGATAGTGGTAATAAACCATTAAGAGCATGTACAAAAATGTTTTGGCAATTATTAAGTACACGACCATTTTGTGTTTCATACCTTTGTGGAAGATACCTTTCGTCTAAGAAAAGTTTTTGACATTATAAACTTTAATAGTTTCCATCCGTAGTATACAACCTGCAGTACATTAAAGTATAATTCACCTAAGAAAAAAGAAAAAGAAAAATTTCTCAATTAAGAAAAACTGTAAGAGAAGTATAGTAATTAATGAATATGATATAATCAACAGCATGCCAAAGTTAAGGCTCAAGACTAGTGAAAGAGAAGCAAGTATAAAAGTGCTAAAATAAATTTTAATTTTAATGACTATGATCTGTATCAAATAACCTATTGAGGGTGTTATAAAAGGAAAGTATTTCACCCTGGCCAGGTAGTTCAGTTGGTTAGAGCATCATCAGATACACCAAGGTTGCAGGTTCAATCCTGGTCAGGACACATACAAGAAATCAACTAATGAATACATAAATAAGTGAAAAAACAATCGATGTTTCTCCTCTCTCTCTCTCCTTTCCTCTCTTTCTAAAAAAAAAAAAAAAAAATCAATAAAAAAGTATTTCATATAAACTCAATAATTAAAGCAAACTAAAGCCACATATTTGTGTACATACTTTTCGTCATTAAGAAAAATTAGACAATTTTTTTTTTATCCTCACCCGAGGACATGTTTGCATAGAGCGAGAGGGAAAGAGAAGAGAGAGAGAAAGAGAGAGAAACATCGATGCAGGAGAGACACACGACCCCAACCCAGGCAGGGACAAACTGCAATTGAGGAATCTGCGCGGGAACCCAACCTGGGTCTCTCTGGACCGCAGGCCAACACTCTAACCACTGAGCAAAAACGGCCAGGGCAAAAATTAGACAATTTTATTTGTTCAGTTTTTTGTTTTTTTTTAATCCTCACCCGAGGACATTTTTCCATTTTTTGTACAGATAGAGTGGGAGGAAGAGAGAGGATGAGAGAGAGAGAGAGAGAGGGAAACATCGATGTGAAAGGGACACATCAAGTGGTTGCCACCCGCACGACCAACCAGGGCCAGGGACAAACTGCAACCAAGGTACATGCCCCTAGCGGGAACCAAACCCGGGTCTCTCCAGACTGCAGGCGGACGTTCTAACCGCTGAGCCAAACCGGCCAGGGCTATTTGTTCAGTTTTTATACAGAAAATTATAATTTCCCTCATTTTAAATTATAGTTGCAGCCTTAGCCGGTTTTGCTCAGCAGTTGGAGCGTGGCCTGCGGACTAGAGAGTACTGGTTCCGGACCAGAGAGTACTGGTTCCGTTCCCACTAGGAGCACGTACCAAAAAAAAAAAAAATTAGTTGCAGCTTTTCACTGCCAAAATTTTTTTTTAAATCCACCATACAATGAATTCAAATTTATCACTCACTTTGGACAAAAACCAAATCTTACTGTAAATTTTTCCTGTAACGGTATTCCTTATTTGAACACATTAGGGCATTTTTTGATAGCACTGTTTTCTAACTCATAATTCTTCAATGTTTACACAAACTAGTAAGTTCACCAATATTAAGTTAGCCAAAAGGAAAGTTTTTTAAGGTCTATAAACTTATGAATTGAGCCCTGGCTAGTTTGGTTCAGCGGTTAGAGCATCAGCCTGCCTGCGAGAGACCCAGGTTCAGTTCCCACTAAGGGCGCGTACTTCAGTTGCAGTTTGTCCCCAGCCCTGTTTGGTTGTGCGGGTGGCAGCCACTCGATGTGTCCCTTTCACGTCGATATTTCTCTCTCTCTCCCTCCCACTCTACCTGAACCAAAAATGTAAAAATGTCCTCAGGTGAGGAATAAAAATAAAAAGGATAACTTATAAATGGAAAGGTATATTGGACTCATAGTTTGGAGGCACATATAATGCGTAAATACTTCCACACACCAGAAAACAAATCATGAACATACAAATCGTTCACAATTAGAGAGGTTTTTGCTTTGGACTTTCAAAGAAATACATAAGTGGGGGGAAAAAACCTATCTGAGTACATATAGTTGGCAGGTAGAAATAAAACGTGCAGACTGTTGTTATGGTTAGGACGCTAGTCGTTCTTGAAAACAAGACTGACAATTACCTCCTTTAAAAAGCAGGTAACTGTCCCTGGTGGTGCCACGTTCCTGAAATGAGATGTCACAGGTAGAAGAGACCTTCGAGAATATTTCTAGCCGACCCACCACCACCCTACACACGGCACAGAGAATAATAAGCTCGGTCGTGCAACGGAAGGCTGCTAATCAGCGGAGAGCCCAGACAGGGTCGCGTGCCCCGGCCCTAGGCCAGAGGTATGCACCCCCACCCCTCTCATCCCCAAATGGGATGGGCAGGTCGGGAGGAGGAGCGATGAGAGCCCCGGAAGGCGTGAAGCCAGAGATAGACTCACGTCACTAGGACACAGATACACTACAGCCGCAGCCGCGGCGGCCTTACTTGCCCGGAGCTGCATGCCCTCGTGGGCGGAGAGGAGCGGAGGAGCACAGGCTCTACTCCAGGTGGAAGGGCAGCCACCCAGCCCTACCAGGGCTCAGCGCCGAGCCTCTCCGAGGTCCCGCCTCCCGGGACCTTCCAGACCCGTCGGCGCTTCCGCGACACAGCCCGAAGGGCGGAGGCAGCCAAAGGAGAGAGTGACTTAGGCATCCAGTGCACTGCCTGACTCTAATCGCGATGCCCCGCCCTACTTTCCTGCTCGAACCCTGCGATGAAAGCGTGTCATAGAAGGCCAGAAAACCAACTGTCGGTGACTGGAAGGCGGAGATGGATCGCGAGCGCCGAGGAGGCCCTCGATGACTCCGGGACTACAGGCGCTTGCCGCCGCCCGCCCCTTCCGGCTCTTCCCTGTTGTGCTTAGGACCCTTGTGCCGAGGTTTCCAGAGCCTTCGCGTTGAAGACCATGTTGCGTCCGAACATCCTGCTCACGGGTCAGGGCGCGCGGCAGGGAGGGGCTGGACTGCGGGGCTGGCCTGACGCCGAGTGCTCTGGGGCCTTGGGCGCCCGAAGGGGGAGCGCTCGGTATTTTGTTTCGAGGCTACTCGAGAGCAGCCTGGCGTGGTAGTTGTCAGGGCACCGAGACCCGGCCGTCGCGACCGTTGCGGGGGCGGGGGAGGGCCGGGGAACGTCAGTTCTGTTGGCCCGGGCTGCTCGGTGAGGTGGAGAGGTAAACCCTCCCGGCTCCCGTTTCTGGCAAGCTGCCTAATTTTCCTGAATCTAAAATGGATGTTCATTTTAAAAGTTTTTGGCTGGGTTGTCTTGGGCTTCTAGCGAGGTCATGTTAGTAGATCTGTTAGCGGTGGGTGCCTAGTCCTTAGGCCTTCCTGGGCGGTGATTTTTCTTTGTATCTGAGTCAGCTTTCGGTAAGAGTTCGTAAGTTTGTGGCGTAGAGGTATTAATTTGCTATGTATGTTTGTTGAGTTAGCATTAGGCACTTTTTCCCTTTTTTCTTCCCAGAAGAAAAGGCATCTACTGAGCAGACCTAGTACTTTCTCGTAGAGAAGCGGCCAAGTTCCCGTGGGGGCCCTTCTGGCTCTTTGGATCCATACCCAGAGGCCTGTTAGATGTGAGGGGTACCAAAATGCTTCATAGCAGCTTTAATTCAGGCAACGTTTGTTAAATTGTTGCAGTTAATAGCATTATAGGGCATCCATGGGAAATCTAATTTGTAGGTGGTATTGCAAGACAGAAAAATTGAGACGCTCTTTGTGGGGGAAAAAAGCCATAAAGTTTTTATCGTTTAACAAAACATAAGCTTGTTGGGCGCGTACATTTTTGTCTGTTTTTCAGAGATGCAGATTAATCTTAACAAATGAATGTTTAGCCCTTAAGATTCCTTAAGGGGAAATTGGACAATATTTGAATTGTTTGGCCCAGACAATGTCCTGGTTTTTAATATTGAGCCATGGCGTCAAAAATCTGAATTGTGAGCATTTTGTTAAAAACATAGTGGTTCCAGGGTTCAAACTTGGTAACTTGGTGTATTATAGCGGACTTGAGGTAAATGTTAGTCTTGTGTATAGAGACTTTATTTATCTCTATTTTCTTGGGTAATGATAGAATTTTATTATTTTAGTGGCATTACAGCTGAACAGCTTGCCCTGGCTGGTTTGGCTCAGCGGTGAGAGCGTCGGCCTGCAGACCAGAGAGACCCCCGTTCGGTTCCCACTAAGGGCACGTACCTCGGTTGCAGTTTGTCCCCACCCCGGTTGGGGTCGTGTGGGTGGCAACCGTTCTATGTGTGGGTGACAACAGTTCTATGTGTCTCTCACACGTGGATGTTTCTCCCTCTCTCTCATACTCCCTCTCTCCCTCCCATTAAAAAAAAGGGGGGGGGCGAAAATTACGCCTTTACTTGTCTTGAAATACAATACATATTAAAAATGGAAAGTGAAAAACAATGTGTAGCACTGCCATTTATGTAAAAGGGGATGTGCTGTGTGTGTATGTATATATGCATGTTATGTGTGTATACGTACACATGTAGGTATGTGTACACGTAGGATGTTATCAAATGTACATAGGACTTCTTTGGAAAGATAAGAAACTTGTTTACAGTGGTTGCCCCTGAGGAAGAGTATAGGGAGTCAGTAGTGGCAATGAGATTTGTCTTTCATACTGCTTAAATTTTTTCCATGAACAATTTCTTGATTTTCAAAAAATTAAATAGTGATGTTAATTTATTTGAGATGGCCAATTTTATTCTGGAAACTTCCATGGTGATGGCAAGCAGTTTGTGAATTGGTGTCAGTTACAAAAGCCCCACTTCTGATACAATCAGATGTACTGGGTGAGGTTCTGATATATAAGGCTTTGGGTATGTTAATTCACATAGGATGGTTAATTACAAAACTTTTTATTTCAGTTGTAAGAATATTTTCTAAATTGATTTTAGAGAGGAAGGAGGGGAGAGAGAAAGAAACATCAATTTGTTGCTCCACTTATTTGTGCATTGATTGGTTGATTGTTGTATGTGCCCTGACCAAGGATTGAACCCACAACCTTGACATTTGGGGATAATGGTCTAACCAACTGAGCTACCCAGCCAGGGCCTTAGTTGTTAAGTATGTTAAAAAGGGCAGATAAGCAGGTAAAGTCAAATAAGTATTTCATGAACAATATTTTCTGTGGCTTATCTTACAGGTACACCAGGGGTTGGGAAAACCACTCTGGGCAAAGAACTTGCATCAAGATCAGGACTGAAATACGTTAATGTGGGTGATTTAGCTCGAGAAGGTAAGGCACATTTTGGTGTTAAATTTTTGTTTTTAAAGAGAGAGAGAGTGGAGTATTAGTATTATATTATGAGAGGGTACAAAAAGCAGAGAAAAATTGCCATTAAGGAATTTATGCTCTGTTTGGGACCCATAAAAATTGAAAGTATTAAATGTCTAAAGCTGTGTCCTTGTTATTTTGACCGTTACATTGTGATACACCCCGCCCCATTGTCTAGCAGTTCCAGAGAATAACAGTTGGGAAGGCTTCCATGAAGAGATTGATTGGCCTTAGGATAGGTGGAATCTGAGGGAGAGGGAGAATGTTTTGAGATGGGTGAACACAAAGGTTGGGGTGGTGCTAAGCATATCTATGGAAACAATGATTATATTGATCTCACCGAAAGGGTAGATTATTCTGAACTCAGTAGGACACGACTATCCTATGGTACTAGATTAATTTGGTAGTTGCATGTCTGCATGAAACTACATATTCTAAAATGATACATGTTTTTATTTATTTTACCGTTTCCCTTCAATCTTTATCACTCAGTTATTGTGTCTTCATCTTTTTATATTCTGTAATGATTTGTACAGGGTAGAAGCTCAATACATTTAAGTAAAGGGAAATTTAAGTGTGCCTTGTTAAAATTAGAAAGATTTAACATATATTTTTTTAAATTTAAATATTTTTAAAAATATGACATTTTGAATTTTTTAAGTTCCTGACAGTTGCTACTAAAGTAACTATTTCAGGTTTGATCTAATGTGCATATTTTTTTTAAATGATCTAAAGTCTGATCATCGGATATCATGGAGTCTGGCAAGATGACTTCTCCCAAGAGCATGCCGAAAGATGCACAGATGATGGCACAAATCCTGAAGGATATGGGGATTACAGAATATGAGCCAAGAGTTATAAATCAGATGTTGGAGTTTGCCTTCCGATATGTGACCACAATTCTAGATGATGCAAAAATTTATTCAAGCCATGCTAAGAAAGCTACCGTTGATGCAGATGATGTGCGATTGGCAATCCAGTGTCGTGCTGATCAGTCTTTTACCTCTCCTCCCCCAAGAGATTTTTTATTAGATATTGCAAGGCAAAGAAATCAAACCCCATTGCCACTGATCAAGCCATATTCAGGCCCTAGATTGCCACCTGATAGATACTGCTTGACTGCTCCAAACTATAGACTCAAGTCTTTACAAAAAAAGGCATCTACTTCTGCGGGAAGAATAACAGTTCCACGGTTAAGTGTTGGTTCTGTTACTAGCAGACCAAGTACTCCCACACTTGGTACACCGACCCCACAAACCATGTCAGTTTCAACTAAAGTAGGGACTCCAATGTCCCTCACCGGGCAAAGGTTTACAGTACAGATGCCCACTTCACAGTCGCCTGCTGTAAAAGCATCAATTCCTGCAACATCAGCAGTTCAGAATGTTCTGATTAACCCATCATTAATTGGGTCCAAAAACATCCTTATTACCACAAACATGGTGTCATCACAAAATACTGCCAGTGAACCATCAAATGCATTGAAAAGAAAACGTGAAGATGATGATGATGATGATGATGACGAGGATGACTATGATAATTTGTAATCTAGCCTTGATTCATGTAACATGTGTACATGATCTTGAATGCACTGTACTGATTAAACATGCATGCTGGATGTTTTCAAGTTGCGTTTTAGAAAACTTATAATAGTATTTAACTAGTAAATATAGTTACCTTAGTTTTTAATTGAGTTATTGTGTTTTCTTTCATAGAATTTATAATGGTTTTTCATCAGCCATTAAGTGTAAGAAATAAAGTTGTCATTCATCATTTTGATTGTTGGTACTTTGGCAATTATATTTTTAGAAACAATTTTACCCCTCATATTCACCATCAGGAAAAATAGTTGTAACAACTTCAATTGTTGCAGTCTGTTCATTACCACTAGAGTGTCGTTTCTAGCGTCTTCATATGTTTAAATCATAGTGCTATCTCTAGTATATAAGTCATTCTTATGGACCATTCTCTCAAATTACTGAGGTATAACCATGTTTTCTTTTTGGAGAGAATACTTGGTCAGGATTTTTATTCATAGTGAATCCTCATTTGTTTAGATTTATCTTCCTCAATTGCCCAACTTCTTCCTAGGTCCAATTTTTCTATCCTTTTGGAAAGACATATACACACACTCTCATATATATATATATTTTATTCCTTACCTGAGGATATTTTTCTGTTTATCATTAGATAGAGTGGGAAGGAGGAAGAGAGACAGAAACATCGATGTGATAGAAACACATTGACTGGTTGCCTCCCACACAACCTGACCAGGGCTGGGGATGAACTATAACTGAGGTATGTTACCTTGACTGGAATTGAACTCGTGACTCATTGGTCCGAGAGCTGACGCTCTAACCACTGAGCAAAACTGGCCAGGGCATAAGTCTCCATTTTATACCTATATGAAATGTGGTTTTGTTTCTTTGCCTATTGAACTTGACAGTTTTTGCAAGTGATTTCAGAGTCACATTCTGTAGTCATTTTCAGTTCTAATCTTACCTACTCAATTTAACATTCTAAACTTAATGAAATTGCTGTGTTATCTATCATAAATAGCATTGCAAGGAACAGTAATTGTGAACCATTGGGTACCCTCCTACTTGTATTCACACCATTTTAGCCAGTTGTTTGTCCACCTAATGGTGTATAGTCTTAGTCTTTTTGTATTTTATTGATGAGATGGAATATAAGTTTACAAGAAAAGTTTTTTCTCCCTTGTATAATGCCAGATAAAGGGTTTCTTGTGTGACTTGATACTGTGTTGGATGAGGTACTCTATAAGGTTTCTCATAACATACTACTGTTTTTTTTCTCATGCAATTTGAATATATCTGAGAATCTTACTAGAATATATTTTGAGATATCCAGCCTCATATTTTTCAAATGGTAATATATTTTAAGGAAAACAGTGCAGTCATCTATAAAGCAGTAGTTCTCAGCTGTAGTGATTTTCCCTTCAGGGGACATTTGGCAATTTCTGGGGACATTTTTAGTAGCAGCTGGGGTTGGGGGAGTTGCTAGTGACCTATAATGGGTAGAGGGCAGTGATTCTGCTGAACATCCCAAGATTCACATATTCCACTCCCATAACAATTATCAGGGTCAAAATGTCAGTAGTATTTGAGGTTGAGAAGTTCTATAAATGAGATTTTAAGGAAAAAAACAAAACCGGTTTTAAACAAATGTCTAGATAGGTGTTTATTGCCATCCTAAGAAGAATGTTAAATTGCTGTATTACCGTTGACCCTTGAACAACATGGGTTTGAATTGGATCCCCTTACACGCAGATTTTTCAGTTGACATGTGCAGTTTAACTCCATGGTTGGTAAACCATTTATGTGGAAGTCTGACTAATTATACATGAGTTTTGACTTTGTAAGAGGTTGTTCCCCCTAATCCCTGCATTTTTCAAGGGTCACCTGTAAGAGACCAACCCTGTAAGAGACCATCCTTATGCCAATTGTAACCCAAGCAGGAAAAATTAGTTGGGAAATTAACATTAATTAAACTATTGGGAGTCTTAAACATGTGACAAGAATGCTTTTCTTATCCCTGTTTTTCCAGTCTCTCAGATTCCTCCTCAGTGGATATTCTTTCCCACATATAATCATTTAAGAACACTTACCAACATCCTTAATTTTCCTGCCACCAGTTTGTCAGTCTGAAGCCTCTGTTCCTAACCCCAGGATGTGTGTAGGTTCAGACAAAGCAATATTATATTGACATTGGATCCATTTCAAATAGAGGTAAAGAGTGCTGGGCCCTCAACACTCATACTCTTGATCTGCTCTTAACTTAGCAGTTGGCAAACTGCTGTTTTTATAGGAACCACTAGCTAAAGATTAGCTTACAAAGTCTGAAGTATTTACTGTCTTGCCCTTTCCAGAAGTTTCCCATCCTTGCTCCAACCTCTTATGTGTCCCATCTTCTTCCTCCACTGGAACCCTTTGAAACTAACTCCTCCATTGGCTTCTCCAACACTGTTCTCTCCCAATATTTGCATCTGATTCTCCCCCTCCCACCATTTCACTGCAGCTATCTTATAATTCTGCCCCTTCCTCTAGTAATCTTATTCACTCAGGAATAATCACTCCCTTTTACTGATGACTCTTTTAAGTTTTTAATTTATAGCCTAATTTCGAGACACTTAAATGTAGCCATCTGGATAGTTCCCAGACATCTCCAAATTAGTGTGTATAAAAAGCACATGCTCTGGTCCGGCCAGTGTGGCTCAGTGGTTGAGCGTCCACCCATGCATCAAGAGGTCACCAGTTTGATTCCCAGTCAGGGTACATGCCCAGGTTTTGGGCCTGGTCCCCAGTGGGGGTCATGCAGGAGGCAGCCAATCAATGTTCTCTTTCATTGATGTTTCTGTCTCTGCCTCTCCCGTCCCCTCTCTAAAATCAGTAAAGAAAAAAAGTTGTTTAAAAAGCACATGCTCTGAAGTTATCTCTGACTCTACTTATCCACTCCTGATTCCTATTCCCCACGTTTACAAATACATTCACACGTTACACAGAGCCAGTTGGCCTTTCCTTTTTTTTTTATCCTCATCCGAGGACATTTTTCCATTTTTTACTCAGAGCAGGAAGGAGAGAGAGGAAGAGAGAGAAACATCGATGTGAAAGGGGCACATCGAGTGGCCGCCACCCACACGACCCAACCAGGGCCGGGGACAAACTGCAGCCAAGGTACGTGCCCTTAGCGGGAACCAAACCCGGGTCTCTGGACCGCAGGCCAACGCTCTAACCGCTGAGCCAAACCGGCCAGGGCTTTCCTTTTTTTTTAATCCTTCCTGACCCAAGGATAATTTTTCATTTGTCTTCAGATAGAGTGGGAGGGAGGGAGAGGAGTGGGGGAGAGAGAAACGTGGACTGGTTGCCTCCTGTATGCAACCCCAACAAGGGCCGGGGACGAACCCCAACAGAGGTACGTGCCCTTGAACAGAATCGAACCTGCGACTCATTGGTCTGCAGGCCTACGCTCTAACCGCTGAGCCAAACCAGCCAGGGCAAAATCTTGATAGTTTGTTTGAAAAATCTTTATGGACTACTATCCCATTCCTAAGACTATTGGTGCTGTGTTCCTATGGTACCCCTATCCCATTCTCAAGACTTTTGTGCTGAATCTCCTAATCTTCAGTACCTCTTCTACACCATCATGTCCTTTATTTCAATTTTTTTTTTTTTTTGTGGTACATGCCCCTAGCAGAAACCGAACCCGGGACTCTCTGGTCCACAGGCCAACACTCAACTGCTGAGCCAAACTGGCCAGGGCTACTGTCATGTCCTTTAGAAAATGGGGAGTGGGAATAACATGACTTGAACCTTTTACTGATAAAAGTATCTTCCTTAACAAAGTATAGAAGATTATGAACTGGCCATAGTCTACCCTCAACCTTACCTATAGCCACTCTCACCTATGTCCCCTTCAGTCTACCCACAGTGCTCTATTGTTTCTCAAACAATGGGAATTTTCCACCATTAAGTCTTTATACATGCCATTCTCTTACCTGTAGATGCCCTTATCTGCCTTAAAAACAACTCTTTATTTTATTTTTCTTTATTGATTTTAGAGAGAGAGGAAGGGGGAGAGAGAAAGAGAAACTTTGATGAGAGATAACATTAATTGGTTGCTTCCTGCATGCCCCCCACTGGGGATTGGGCCCACAACCTGGGGATGGTCCCTGATCAGGAATCGAACCGGCAACCTCCTGGTGCATGGGTCAACAACGCTCAACCACTGAGCCACCCTGGCCAGGCAGAAACAACTCTTAAAAAGCCTGACTCAAATGTCCTATCTTGGTGTTAACTTCTCGAAACAGAATTCAGTGCTCTTTTTTTCTACATAAAAGGCCAGGTATCAAAGCACTCAATCCTTCCAAACCAATTAATATCTTGTATTGATTGCATTGCAGTTATAAGCTTCTTGGATTGAGGTAAATGTTTCCAAAGGAAAAAAATCTGAAAATATCTTAAGTATCAAATATCTTAAGTATCTTAAGCATAAAAATAGATAACCAGCATCCCAATATCTTTAAAAAACAGCTTTCTCATAGTATATAAATTCTAGGATGGCAGTTAAAAGAAAACCTCATGATTTTATAGCTTGCCTAACAACAGCTAGGAAGATCTTTTAAGGTAAGAACTTAGCCTTTTAACTCTGGCTTTACAATCAGTTTTGTTTTGTTTTGTTTTCCCTGCAAGTAGTATATCTCTAAATAAAACTTTGTTTAGAAAATTGAATAATTTTCTAAGCTTTTGGTAATTTAAAGCAAGCCTTTTTTCCTCTTTGCTAGATTGAGATCCTATGTATAGACAGCTATAAATTTGATCTCCAATTGAAACTATCTGAAGTAGTATAAATTTTTCTGCTGTTTTTGGAAATTAGAAATTAAGTTTAGAATCCATCTCTCTCCATTCCCTATGGTACAGGTTATAATTATCAATCACTTAAACTTCTGTAGTAGTTTTGATATGGTATCTATGCTTTTAGAGATTTGCTTCCTTCCAATTTCTTGTTCTTAAAAATTGAAATGATTTTTAAAAATTTGAAGTTGATCATATCATTTCATGTTTAAATTGCTTTAATGATTTTCCTTTGCCTTAGGATAAAGTCTAAACTCAATGT